GCCTATTCAGAGTTGTTTCTCCCACATAGTTATTCATTTTTCAGTTTGCTACTCACCTAACCCTTTTTAGTTTTTATTTCTTAGTATGCAAAAACATGCCTCATGAGTGTTGGCTAGATTATGAAGTTATGCTCAAGTTATAATGATTTGGACTTTATAAACCAGTGGGCATTTTATGACTTCGTTTGTTTTATGTGTTATTAATATTTTTTAATAATAGTTTATTTTTATATCATTTTGTGTCTTTTTCCATCTCAGTTTTAATCCCCGTGGGCTTCCCATCACCAAATCACCTGTGGAGCACATTGACTTTTATGATTTAGGATGTATTTGTGACAGGTGTCATGTATACTTTAAGTTCCTTTCTCATGAACAGTAATACTCTTGATACTCTTTAAAACCTTGTTATTTAGTGAATTTTGTAATCAGAGGTCTAGTGATAGTATATAAAGTTCAAAAAGGTTGTTTAAAATTTTAAAGAATAACTTTTGTGTTCCTGTTTTTTTTTTTTTCTTTTCTGTGTTGAGAAGTAATTAGAATGAAATACATATTGTTGATGAGGTAGCTCTACACTAGAGATGTAATTTTTCCAGAGTCAGGTAGTTAGAAAGTAGAAGACTAGTTTGGAGTACTCATGCCTGTGTATATTTCAAAACAATTGAAAGCACTTTTTTATTATTATTTTTTCAAGATTTATTTATTTATGCAGACAAAAACTGGGCTGTAGGCCAGAGGGGCAGTGGGTGAAAGGATTCACCAGAGACAGAGCAGGGAGCAGAATAGGCAGATCTACTGAAATACACCGATGAGGGGAGCAGCGGGTGAGACAGGAGACCAGGAGACAAACTGCTCTGCCATTTGGGTCAGCAACCTGGCCAGGGATGGAACTCATGCCACAGTGGCTGGTGAGGGCTTGGTAGTACTGTGGCTTTAACCCCAAATTTTTCTAAAAATTGATAATGTATATGATGCATTTGTTACTCAGAGGTTAATACTAATTAGATGCCTCTAAAATATATTTCTATGTTTATCTACTTGAAAACATCCAGAACTCATGAGAGTTGGATTTTATGTCGTAATATTTTTATTTTATATGTTTACCATTATGAAAAACTGATTTTTTTCATAATCATTGTGTGGAAGTACTTTTCGCCTCTTAGGTAGAAGAGAATGAAAATTGTTTTATGATAGTTTAAATTCTGTTTTTTATGGAAGAAGGAAAAAGATTTTGAAATGTCATTAGTTATTAGTTAAAAATGGATTGTAGTAAATATCAAGTTCTGAAACTTTGATCTAGAGCTCAGTAAACCCAAGAAGAATGTCAGAGAAATACAGGAAAAGTTCCAGGTGAAAGGGGTAAGTAAAGAATTCTGTAAAGTTATAGTGTAGGTCATTTTTCATGGGCAGTGAAGCTGAAAAAAAATATTTATATGTTTGCTGGTTGTTATTGGAACTTACATGATACCAGTCTTCTGGTTTACAAAGCAAGAGTTTGCTATGAGGGGCCCTTAAAAATCATAGTTTTTTTTTTCAAGAAATCATTTTTGAAGTTGTTTGTAGGTGTTTTAATCTCTGTGCAAATTTTTATTTTTATGTTGTATATTCTTTTTAAAAAAGAGAATGGAATTTTGCTTTATTTTAAAAAGGTTAACTGCTGTGATTTACCTTGATTTTGGTGAATGAAATAAATAAAATGGATAGACCCTCAGATATTTTATTGTCAGGGTAATTGCTTACTTTGTATGACTATAGATGAAAGAATTTGCTTCAAAGGAACATTATTTTGTTAAAAAATATACTTTTTTTCTTGCATTGCATAATCCTTTGAGAAGACAGATTGACTTTTTGTTTTTCTTTTATTCAGTATCTTGCTTACTGTTGCCTTCACTGAAAAGTTTTCTTTTTTGGTGACTTAAAGCTGTTTCAAAGAAGAAGACTGAATTTCTTTTCATGTCAAAAATGTCTACCTAAGTAGAGATGATGAAGATGATATTTACCAACCACAATTTAACAATATTAGAAAAGCCATGAATATTAATATCTTTGCTTATATTGTGTTCTGTTCACCTCTAAAATGTTTTCTCCGGCACTCTCTTATCTGATTTTTTTTAGATTATTTTAGGATTCATTTTAATAATAACTTTCAGTAGTATAAGGATGACAATAATTATGGGATTTGCTTGAAACTTCTTATGTAAGTCATATTTGCAATCCGGTTTTTATTTTTCTGCCTAGTAGACTATTGGTTATAGGTATTGAGTGTTAACATTGTATAAATAAAATGCTTTCACATCATTGTTGATCTGTTAATAACATACAGTAGATTTATGTTAGGAACTTTAAAGTTGTCTACCTGTTGCTTATGGCTCTTTTTCTTTCTGGATGATGTGACTCAGTATATTTATTTATATATTTATTTTAATTTGGGTATCCTTGGTGGTTAGAAGATGTCACTCTCCAATTTAGGCTCCTGTTTTCTGCTTAGTGTATAAGGGTTTAGATAACATTATATTCATCTTGTGAATGCATATAAACTTATTATGTGGTAAAACTTTTTGAGAGATGATTGTCTTTATCTATGTTTCTCATAGTGGTTTTTCTAATGTGTTCAGTTTCTCTAGAGGTTACAATGGGTTTCCTTCCCAATTTTGTACTAAAATTACCCTATAGAACAAGACAAGTTGATATCGTTGATACTTAACTATCTGTGGAAGTAACCCATCTTGAGAGGTAATAAATTGCTACAGAGAACAGAGAAAATGCTCAGATAAAGGTGACAGGGGCAACGTCTGGACTAGAATTAAGTTTTAATCTATTTTGTTACTATATATATATATATATGGTTAAATCATTTTTCTAAAGGGTGTTTTATCATGAGGAAAGTGTCTTCCTTTCTAGAAGAAGAGAAATTATATGTTCTGAAGTTGGTGTGTGTTCAGCAACATTAGGAAAAAGAAAACTACTTAGTAATGATTATTATAGTCATCAGAGAAATGTTTGTAATTGTTAACCAATAGTTCGTCCTTTTTTTTAGCGTGGGTGAAATTATCTTTCAACTTTTCAGTTCTTTGACAGATCCCTTGTCTATCAGTGCTTTGTTGATACCAATACATTCTTCTTTTTATCTTTTTACTGAGAAAGAATTATTCATGATTGATGTGACATCATTTTGTAGTGTGTTTGATTGGTTTTTCAGGGACTAGGAACCTTTTCATAGGCAAATTTGAGTTTCAGGGATTTTAATGATTAGAAACTGGTCTTACCAAGATGTTTATTGTCAATAATTCCTGCCTAAATTTCTGGTGGGATAACTATATACTTTTTTTTTTTTGACACATGAAAAGTTTGATTTATTAATCCTCTCATGAAAAATCTGCACAGTCACCACAGATACAGATAAAGTCACTACAGAATCTTGACTCCTTCTGTTGTCCAATCTCGAGCTCACTTTTGTCAGCACAGCACTGGCCTGTGCAGTCCCCCTGAATTTCTTCATTCTGTTCTTGCATTCCTTTCCCTGTTTTCTTGAGTCTTTTTTCTTCTCATATAGGCCATGTCTTGCAAGTCCATGTTTGGGTTCATTTTTCATTTTTCATTTTTCTTTGCATAATCCAAGGAATCATAAATCATGCCAAAGCCAGTTGTCTTGCCACCTCCAAAATAGGTTCTGAATCCAAACACAAAGATGACATCGGGGTGGTCTTGTACATTTTTGCTAGTTTTTCCCGAATTTCAGTCTTAGGTATTGTAGCCTTTCCAGGACGAACATCAGTGACCATTTGTTTCTGCTGAAGCAGTCGGTTGGCCATGAATTTGCTAGTCCAGATAGTTACTGTGTTGTGTCATTCATGATGGCAGTGGCTCTTCAGGCAGCCACAGAGGAAAAGCTAAACACTCTTTTATCTCAAAATCAAGGAAGATAATTGAGTTTTATAAGAATTCTTGCGAGATCTTGAAGCCCAAGTAACTTTCAACACTATTTGTAATTCCACATATGCTTGTTTGAGTTATTAAGGAAATTTCTGTTTTTGATAATTGGAATGTGTTTGAAATATAATATGTTCTACTCCAAAAGATAAGGAATTGTTAATTTACCTTCTTGATTCAATACACTGAGTATATTTAGATGTTATCTGCTTAAATAATTTAACTCCTCAGAGTACTGAGTTATTAGTGAATGAGAAGACAAAGTAATCACTTGTTTTTATTCATGTCAATTATAGGTAAAGCTTAATAAATGACAGAGTTAAATTTCTTTTAAAAGATCCAATACCGCATATAGCTGTGGCTCAGTTGTGAATTGGATTCACCTGGTCTAACCCTAGTCTACACTATTTGAATATTCTTAAGACAATTTATGTGTGTTTCTGTGCATTCTGTTTACTTACACTTACTTGCATTTGGTTGTATGACTTTGTTCTAATCTGCCTCCAAAATTAGATCACAGTTTTGTTTTTTTTTTAAGTTTTTAATGTTTGTTTTGCATGAACATGATTTTACATATATATGTGTCTAGCACAAAGTGAGTTCAATAAGTATTCCTAATCAATAGTTCTTAGACTTAATTTGCTTTCTTTTTAAATGAAAACTTTTGTATTTTTTTTCAATTATTACAAAAGTTTATTTTTACATCATTTTGCACATTTTTTTTTCCATCTCGATTGTAATCCCCACGGGTTTCCCATCACCAAATCACCCGTGTGCCACCACCATAGTCCCATGCATTTCCCTCCCTTCCCCCCCCAAATTTTTGTATTTTTAATTAAAAAAATGAAACTATATTTTTTTCCCTTTCCTGTAATGCTTTTCCAGTAAGTCTAAACTGATTTAAGAAAGTCACTAATTTCATTGTGTATAGACATGAAAAAGTCATTTAATAAGCTGTACTTCTGTTTTAATATTATTCTTATAAACCACTTTTTTTCAGAATACTTCCCTTCCTTTGCGATTTTAAAAACATGAATTTAAAAAATAACATCAATTTTTTTTTTCCTCTTTAGGCTGCTATGGGGTTGATGGAGAAAGTGACTCTATTATGAGTTCAGCTTCTGAAAACTCCACTGAACCTTGGTTTTGTGATGCCTGTAAATGTGGTGTCTCCCCTAGCTGTGAACTATGTCCCAATCAAGATGGAATTTTCAAGGAAACAGATGCTGGAAGGTTGATATAATTTTTTTGTGTTAAGATGCCGCCTTTATAATATGTCTGCTTCTAACTATTCTTCTATCTATAATTTTCTGAATTTCATATTTATGATTGCTTCCTTGTGTGTCTTTGCAGCATCGAGTAACTGGACAGTAGGTAATAGAACTGGGTGAGGAGGAGAAAAGACCATTTATTGAATATTTGCATTTGCCTTTAATCCATTCTCCCCCCTTATGGTCCTATCACGAGAGAGGTAATAAAGGTTCCCATTTTATAGGAATAGTACCTGAGGCTTAGATCATTAAGCCATTTAATTTTATCAAACTGGAGATCAGTCTAATTTGAACACAAATCTATCTACTTAAAAGAGTTTAAAGAGACAGAATCCATACATGATTTTTAAAAGGGGAGATTTAATGTGAAGAATTGTAAAGCTTTGATAAAGAGTAACCATAAGATATTAAGGAACTCTAAAGAATATCCTAGGGTAGAGAGAGTACCAGGGGAGTGACCAAAACTCAATCCTTCAGATTGAGTTTTATATCTTTTTAGAGAAGATGTAGTTGCAGTATTCTGGATATCATAGAAGATTTCTGGGCTGGACTTGGTCTACATTTCTTGAGAAGGAGATGAGTGGGCATAAGCAGCAGAGGGAAGCTCTTGTAAGGGGGTCTATGTCCTCTCCAGTCTAGGCCTATGTGTGTACTGTGGGAGTGCCGGTGGCCCGGGCAGAGCACTCCTTTATCCTGCTGAGAGGCCCTTTCTTCCTACAGTACTATCTACCACTCCCAAGACCTCTAAATAACCTGCTAAGGAGAAATGCTGAAGGGATATTATTCATTATTACAGAGCAGATATTAAAGGGTGAATTTGAAGCTGAGAGACAATTGGGAATTGTCACAGAGATCTGTTTTCATTACATTTGCATCTATATTATCAAATTTGCACAATTCACATCATTCATGACTTGTTAGCAGACTACTTGGACTGGTAACTGAAATACAGTAGTTACTAATCATTTTACATGTTCAGGAGCCCAACCTACAACTCAGTATGAGAGGGAATGCCCAATTTAAAAAGTTTAATGTCTTAATAAGAACAAGAAAACAACCTATACAAAGTTGTATTATCATTTCTCATATTTTCACATAGAATAGGGCAGAATATGTTTATCCCAAAATAAAACTTAATAAATTTTAAAGTAAAAAGAAATTTTTCTTATTTTTGCCTCATCAGTCAAAAGACTGATAGATCATCTTTTGAGAAATGTCCTACAAAATTGTTGGGATAGCATAGTCGCTTAGTGTTTTGATATCTAGAAAAAGTGATTACAAATCATACATCTTCTTCCTCATCCCCCTAAATGAAATGATTAACTTGTATAATTATTTCAAATAATTTGATATACTAACATGAATCTGTTTCTGTATCATAGATTTGGGTATTATTTTATGTTTGAACTAACTTTAACCTAGAATTAATTAGGAATTTGAGGAAAGCGTTAAAGGTGCACTGTCAAGTTGGACTACCTACTCTTGGATTCTAGTCTCTCTTTATTAACTGGGATTTTAGACAAATGATGTAACCTTTCTATGTCTCAGTTTTCTAAGTACTTTGAGAGGAATTATGAGTGACTCAGTACAATTTTTTTTAAAGATTTATTTATTTATGCATACAGAATTGGCCAGAGGTGCAGGGGCAGCGAGAGGATTCACCAGAGACAGAGCAGGGAGCAGAACAGGCAGATGGACAAAGTACACTGCTGAAGGGAGCAGCCGGCGGATCAGGAGAGGTCCGCCGTGCTATGTGTATCACCTCTGGGGTGGTCAGGGATGGAACTCATGCTGAAGTAGCTATAGTTTCTTAGTGCTGTGTTTTAACCTGCTTCGCCACCAGGGAGGGCCCAGTTAGTACAATTTTTGAAACGTACTAAGTCCGGTAAATAAATTTTGCTGCAGCTACTACTACTGCGGGGGGCCTTGACCAGCAAGGCCGAGGATTGGGGTCCCAGGGTCCACGAGAGGAGAAGGCAGAGCCTTGACCTTGTGGCGGGCCTTGACCCGCATGGCAAGCGGGTAGAGCCCCAGGGACAGCCCGAGGAAGAAGACAAAGACAGAGACACGTGCGAGAGTTCTTTATTCTTACAACAGACATATATATATATATACTTGAGGGCGGCACAGAAGGTACGGGCTGGGGGTGGTCTGATGGTCTTAAAGGCCAGTGGGTTTGAGGGGAGGGATCCATCGTCATCTCTTTGTCTCTTTGGCGCCAGAGCTTGCTGAGCGGGAAAGGAAGGAGTGGGGGAAGGGATTCCTTCCGGTGTGCTGCATTCTCAACCAGGATGTTTACTCTAAGTTCCAATCAAGTGTTGTTTTGTGCATAGGAGGCAAAGTCCTGGTCTGGGTCCCGGACATACTACCACTTTCTTATTACCAGTACTATTCTACTTACTTAACATAATCATGGAATACCAGCTGCATAAATTCTTTCTGGTAACTTCTGTCCTGAGTATTGAAATTATGGTGATGAATTGTGTTGGTAAGCTAGGCAACTTTGGGAAACATAGACCTTTTTAGGAAAGAGAATTTATTTTACCTTCTTCTTGTTAATAGCTTGAGAATTCTGTTGGAAAACTAAAAGTAGCTCTCTCCATGATTTGATAGTCCACAAAATAACCTGTAGAGTTGTTTCTGTATGAAGAGAAGGGGGACCTCTAACCATTTAAGTTTACTAAGAGATATTTATGTTGACTCCTCTGACACATATGTTGTAATTTTCCTTGATGGTGTGGCCTAGCAAAAGTTCTTTTATACTGTTTTAACATTTTACTTGTGTTAAGGTCCACACTTTTCTGCAGTCTGTAAAGGAAATTACAGGTTTTAATAGTGTTGGAAAGTTATAGTACTAGTTTGATTCAAAGTTAATAACAACAAAGCTCAAGAAGACTTGGATTGCCATTTAACATTCTAGTTTCAAATGGGGAACGGGGGAAAAAACAATGTATGGAAAAGACTTTGAAATGGACTTCTGTCACAGTGATTGTTGGACATTTATTTCCCTCAGTTTCTGAGAGGAGCCAAAATTTTTACACAGAAAGTATGTGACTTAATTTTTTATTTCATTTCGTAGGGAGAGAATTTTATTCTGTATTAAGTAGTCTTATAAAACTAGTAACAGGAGGATAGCTTGCCAGACACTGTGCTGAAAGCTCTTCACATATATCATAGTTTGCAAACTACCTGCGTGGTGCTCGGTTTCTAGTAATCAATTAGTAGCTTAATGAATAAATCAAGGAATGAAAACATACTTAGAAGTTTGTCTTATATATTGTAAAGCCACTACAAATACATGGCATATCAAAATCAAATTTGATTCCCATTCTGAAATGAGCCTGTATTTCTACCTAGGGAAGTATCTTTCGATTGCGTTTGTTAAACTGTGTGAATTTAAAAGATTCTCCCAATAGTTATTATGCTAGAATGACAATTGTAACTGTTTTTTGGTGAATTTATGTGTGCGTTTTCTGCTCCTTTCTTCAGTCCCCATCTGTCATCAGCTCGAGCAAAATGGGTGGTCAAGTAACAAGGAATATTGTTCTTTTCTGATTTCTTGATTTATCTTAATCATAAGGTTATCACGTATGAGCAACTAGAAACACAAAAAACTATTTATAATAGGTATCAAAAGACCAAATTGTCTCAACTGCTTGATATGTATTTTAATAAAGATTCTGGTTGGCATCCTCTCATGAGTGGTTTGGGAAAATGATACACTATGACAGTAACACGGAAATGCCAGTTTAAATCTGCAGAACTTGTGTGACTTGTACTAAAACATTTTAAGAAGGTCACTATGAAGCAAGCAGCCAGCTGTTGAGTTTATCAAAGATAAACTCCTACAGAGTACAGCAGCATTTAATACACCAGTGGAGCACGAAAATCCTGTGTAAATTAAATTGAGAAAGCAGCTGCTTGTTGAAGATGTGTATCTTTATATTGAACTCAACAGGATGCTTTGGGAAGGTTGGATTAAAACATTTTATCAAGAACATCTCAAAACCTTGGATTTTCTCCCTTATAAAAATCATTTTTAAGGATTTGTATCTGTTTTCTTAGTAAATCTATAAAATGATTCTTAGTTTTTAAAATTCATAGTGCACCATAAAACAGAACCATATAGCAATCATAGCCTTTTAAACTGTGATAAAGCAGAATTTGTTGTTAATGTATTCATAAGGTTAAGGCAGATCAGCCATCCTATTTTTATCCTCTCTCTTCATTTTTTAAATTTCAGATTCCGTGATCATGTTTTGTTTGGTTGTAAGCAAACAATAAAATGGTTCAGAGCAGTTTTTCAAAATGCAGTTAAATTCAAGTTCTGCTATTTTATTCCTTTTAGTCTATGGACAGTTTGAGTATTCTTTGTATAGTGTTGCAACATCATTCAGACTTTAAAAAATATTTATACGTTGGGCATTTTAAGCTTTTGAACATAGGTTGTATGGCAAACAAATGAGTTGAATGAAATATGATTTCCTTATTTATTATAACAGTTCGATATAGTCCTCTAGAATCAGTTTTATTCTGGGAAAACTGATATATATATATATCCTTAAGGGTTATCCAACAGTTTTTATAAAAAAAGTAATAATAAAGAATAATTTCACCTATAATATGTAGTAACTTTACATTTTTAAAATTGGGATCCTTAATTCTCAAAGTGCTTAAAATATTGAAGTGAATTCCTTGCCATGCATATGAAAATAATATTTTGTTTGATTTTGTGCAGCTATTTGAGAATACCAGGTAAGTGCAAATGACAGGTGAATTTTAACTAAAAGGCAATTATTGTTGTTAGTTCCTCAACTTTGGCTGTGCTCTTGGAAAATAGTGCTTACTGTATTTCCTCTTTCATTATGATATTTTATAGGTGTTTCAGATTCTAGAGTGTTTTGAGACTGAGCTCTGGTAATAGAATTCTTTCAATAGTTATTTGAGGTGGTGTATATTTTATTTTCTATGCAGAAAGAGTTTGAAAGCAAAATTCTATGTTTTCTTTATAGATGGGTTCACATTGTTTGTGCCCTCTATGTTCCTGGAGTAGCGTTTGGAGATATTGACAAATTACGACCAGTAACACTAACAGAAATGAACTATTCCAAATATGGTGCCAAGGTAGGACAAATATTTTTGTTTGTTTAAAAGAAAAAGTTTTTACTTGTTAGTTTACGTAATTTTTCAATATTATTGCTGACTACAGAAATATTTACTAATAATTATGCTTCTTATAGCTAAAGCACTTAGCATTGATAGTGATTTATACACAAAATCAGTAAAATATATATATTTATTTCATGTATTTTTAACATAGCCTTGCGCTTAATGAGTTCTCAGACCAAATCATTGTATTTTTCTAGTTGGGTCAAATGCAAACCTATTTTCTGGCTTTGCTTTTCAAGTGGAATTTATCAAATTATAAAAAGAGTTCAAGAAACACTCATTGTTTTACTCATATTTCAAAGATTGGTTATATATTTATGATTATATGATTTGCCTAGCAAATAATTCTTACATAAAATGCTTCATATGATTGAGCTTTGGGATTATAGATAATAAAATGCTCACTTATTAAACTTAGGTATATTACTATATAAACGTCTCTGGAATGTTAGAACAAATTAGGCACTGGTAGATTTTCTCTGCATTATTGACTACTGGGAAATTGAGAAGGATTACTTTTAAATAGCACAAGTAACATATTAAATGTGGGGTAGAGTACTCGTAGAATGTTGGAAAATTCTGATCCGGAAAATTCAGAAATTTGATCATTTCTCCTCTTATACCTGGAATATCCTTCTTGAACTCTAACCACTAGCCCCTTATCTCACTCTCCACCCTCACTTTAAGTACACTTACGCTTTAGTTTGGGTATTTTCTGTTGAACTATATGTAGCTTCTCTCTCTAGAACTAGCTAAATCCCAAAGGGGGAAATCTGTCCCAAGCACTTACTTACTTTTCTGGCCCTCAAATAATTCTAGACTATCCTGTTACCTCTCTGATGCCATTGAAGAATAGTTAAAAAAAAAATTGTCCATATTTTCTGGTGACATTAATACAAATTATCTGACTCACTATTACTGGAAAGTGGAAGTTCTACTTTTTCATAGCAGCTTCCTAATTCACAAGCATATATCCTAAAAAGGAGTCCTCCCTGGGGGCATAGTGAGTAAAAGCACAGCACTATGAAGTTATCCCAGCCACTGCAGTACAAGTTCAATTCCCAGCCAGGGTGGGTGACCCACATGTTGTGGCAGACCTCTACTGACCTGCCTGCTGCTCCTCTCAGCAGTGTATTTCAGTAGATCTGCTCTGCTCCCCACTCTGTCTCTGGTGAACCTTCTTACCCCCCTGCACCTCTGGCTTTGTACTCCAGTTATATATGTATAGAAAAATAAATCTTTAAATAAATAAATAAATAGAACCTAGAAGGAAACTAAAAATCATTTTCATTAGGCACATATTATTACCATAAAGTAAAGCAAAACTAATCGGATATTACTACATGTAACTGAAGCCTACAGTGACCTTTAGACTGAAAAGTTATTAAATGTGTAATTGTTAGCTAATTTTTTTTTATTATCCTTTGCTTTTGTTTTAAAGTATTGGGAAATGGGAGTAGAAAATTATGTACTCACCAGTTTATCTGCAAAATCAAACAGCATTATGAATTATAATTAGGACAGCTCTTAGAGAATACATTTTTTGCCTGTTCTCTGCTTCTGACTACTTTTTCCATTTTTCCAGTTGCTCAGTATTCTAACATTTTACATAATTCTGACAGTGAGGGAGGTTCTGTATATTTGTTAAATTTTTTTATTGTTTTATAAGACTATTGTTAGGAAATTTTTGCCTTGTCTAGTTGAAATCCCTTACTCAATTTCATCATATTACAGAAAATTACTCAGGAAATTATCCTAAAAAGTTGATTATTTTATATCATATATAGCTACTGTTACTGGAGAAAGACTCTGAATGAAGCAGTCGATTCTAAGGCTGTGGGAGTATTTTCATATCTGTACTCAGAGTCCCGTTTCTTTCTGTTTTCATTCATTGCTGATGTATCAGTCTGGTGTTACCTAATCAGTAGGAAGTCACTGTTATAGTATTAAAACAATATGTTACTGTCTACTGAAACTTTTTGTTTCCCTCTTTATAAGTTCCCTCATGCTTAATTTACTTACAATACATTTGCTAAACAGTTTTCCTTTTAATTATCTACTGGTCATCTTTTACATGGTAGCAGCTTTTTCTTCTTTTATCAGTGTAGTTTATATTTTGAGATGAGATTTTTTTTTCTCTATGGTTAAGGTAGGTAAAAGGATTGATAAAATTTGTGGGGCAGTTTGGAGTAATTTCAACAGTTTATACTTAAATTTTATATCTTTTTTCCTTTCTAGATGGAAGCATGTAAATAATTGATCAAGTTGTATATTATTACTAATGTCATCAAATTGATTGTTTGCTTTTCATTCTTTTAAATATACTTTAAAACTGCATGGTGTCTTTTGTTGCAAAACTTAATTGTTTTGATGGATTTTCTGACATACTATTTATTTCCTTTTTTTTCCCCTCCAAGAGATGTATTATTTAAGTAAGTGTAGACAAAAGGTTAAGAGCAAAAAGTTTAAATTAAGATTACTTCCCCTAGTTTGAAGACTGACTCCTAGTTATTTTTTGGTGTTATTTTGAGCCTATTTCTTAACCGGTCTTCAATTTTCTCATATGTAAAATGGAAACAGTTGTAGTACTTCTTATACATACTGTGTAGAATATAAATACGTGGAAAATGACTAGAATAATACCTGGCATATAATAACAACTTAAGTAGTAATATTAATTATTATTTTCATTCTATCAGTGGAATTTCAGTTTATTGAAACAATATTTTTTTTCATATAAACTCTTAGTTTGTCTGTCATTTGTTTATACTAACATACTATAGGTTAACTATTTGTACTTGTTAAATGCTTTATATGAGAATGCAGTATTTCTTGTTCTGGAAATGTCTTTACTCTTCAGTTTTCTTGCTGTCCATTGTAGGAGTGCAGTTTCTGTGAAGACCCTCGTTTTGCTAGAACTGGAGTTTGCATTAGCTGTGATGCAGGGATGTGCAGAGCTTATTTCCATGTGACCTGCGCCCAGAAGGAAGGTCTGCTTTCAGAAGCAGCAGCAGAAGAGGTAGGCTTATTTATACAGTTGATGAAGTTCCAAAGACTTCTCATGGTTCTGTGTGAATTGCAGCAAGTATGTATCATAAAAGGAATTTAGAAGTTTGTTCTTAAAGTTTTTACTTGGATCTCTAATCTGAAATGTGTTTACACGTGTAAACAATATGCGTTGATTTTTTCAGTCTAAAAGCTATTCAAAGATTTGAAAACATGTTAAAATTTTTATAGTAAGACCTGTCACATACATGAAACATAATCCAAGGTATTTTAAAACATTAAGATGTCAGCATATTTTAAATGTAATCTGAATTTGTATTTGGGTAACCTTACTCTATTTCTTCCCAAGTCATCACCTTGTCTTCAGTATCTGGATTTTTTTATCTTTACAATTATTTTTACTCCTGTATTTTTCCTTCCAGGTTTATTGACGTAGATTAAACAATTAGTTTTCTTCAAAGTATATTTTGGAAACTTCTTAATAGCCTTTTATGGAGTTTATGAGGTTAAAATCATCTTCATCATATGAAAATGACATACATTTTTTTTCATCTCACAAGTAGTAGAGATTTCAAGATTTTATTTTACATAGATTATATCACATACTGACTGTGGACATGGTTCAGAGAACCCAGTTTTTCTTTTTTCAGCTTTCTAGAAATTAAAGAGATTTGTAGAAATGTTAAGTCAGTGCCTCGGCTGTCACTAAGTTTTTGTATGTACATCAACAGTGTTTTTCAATAAAGGTTATCTAATGTGTTCTGGTTTATTGGTATTTTAAAGTAAATAAATGGAAGTTTTTAAAATTCCTCAACTTTAATTTCTGAGTGGCATCTAGCTATATTGGGTTCTTCACTAATTTTTTCAAAATGTTAAAGGAGCCCTGGGACCACATTGATTCTATTGTAAGTTTTTATGTAGGCAGGGAATTGGCTTTGTTTGGTAATTCTTACTACATATTTATAATGGATGTGTGTTATTACCTATACCTCTTCTTGTCATGTTCTATTTATTGGGTCAGTTTTTTTTGTTCATATTAAAATGTGTATTATATTGGACTTTTATCCCATTTATTTCATAGGCAGGAAATAAAGAAGATAATCTGATGAACTATTGTTGAACAAATTTGAGGGATTTTTTTTAATAAATAAATAGGCCTAGGGCCCTCCCTGGTGGCGCAGCGGGTTAAAGCACTGCACTAAGAAGCTAAAGCCACCATTCCCGCCTGCCCCGGAGGCGACCACATGGCGTGGCAGACCTCTCCTGACCCGCCCACTGCTCCTCTCAGCAGTGTACTTCGTAGATCTGCCTGTTCTTCTCCCAACTCTCTCTGGTGAAGTCTTTCGCCGCCCCTGAGCCTCTGGCCTGTACCCCAGTTTTGTATGCACAAATAAATAAATCTTTAAAAAAATAAATAAAAAAAAATAGGCCTGTAGCAGTTATATTTTGGATATATACAACTATCTGTTTTTGTGTGAGTCTCTGATAATTGATTGTACTATGCTGAATGATACTAGATTACAACACTGAACATTTTCACAATTATTGGAAGATACAGAGATGTAATTACAGAAAGTGTCATTTGGATATTATTATCCAAACCAAAATTAGTCTTGGTTACAATCCAGAATGGCATGTAGAAGTTCTAATGGAAATGCCAATGAAATTCAGACCAGTTAAATTCCAGGTATTTAAATACCTATATCAGGCAAACTATAGGTTAAGGTTATTAATCTCCAACTAGAGAACTTTGAGCTATACCATCAGGAAAATTCCTTTGTAGCTATTTCTTTTAGAACTTATTAAGATGTTTTTCTTACATAGTAGTTTTTTTTAATCTGGAGGCAGCAGTTTGTTTATCTTTGTATCGCACTATCCAGTTTCAGTTTTGATGGTAGCAAGTTAAGTAATGAAAATGTATGGGTAATGGGAAATGGATTGTCATGCACTCTCTGTGACCTAAGAGAGTGGTACCTCTCTCTGCTAAGACATTAAAGTGGAAATGAAATTAAACACAATATTATACTATATGACTAGGTTACTACCTGTGGTCTCTAGATATGTATCTGTGTACTAATCTGAAGATATTTACAGGGAATGGTAAAAGTAATCAGGATGCAGAAACAATTTGAGGTTTTTATTTGCTTTGTTGCCTCCAGGAATTCAGGATGCTGAAATAAGAAAATGTGACTTTTCTCCCCATTAACTACCTTGCTAGGTGTACTCTTTTGGGGGAAATTGGTTGAAGCACATTACATATGTTTCCTGTTTCCTGTTATAAACACTTACAGAATTGGAAAACTATAAAGATTTCTGAACAGTATTTTAAAACCTAAGTATTATATGGATTATAATAATTGATTTACCCTTGATAGTAATCATTCTGTTAAAATGAATTCTTGGCTATTTCTCATGGTTAAACTTTTGTAGATTAAGAGTTATATAATGTAATAGTATATTTAATTTAATTTTTTTATTATTACAAAAGTTTATTTTTACATCATTTTGTACATTTTTTTTTTCCATCTCAATTGTAATCCCCGCGGGTTTCCCATCACCAAGTCACCC